TCATCCCCAGCGCCTCCTGGCCATTTGCCCCCAGAGGACGCGCGCGCCGTCGGCGGGCGGCCCCCGGGCTGCGTCGATACTAGGCGCTTCCCGCCCCGTCTGCCACGAACGCCAAGGCCTCCAGCACTGCCGACACAAAGTCGGCGGATGTCGGGCCCCCCTCCTCAGCGGCCGCAGCGTTGACCTCTTCCCGCGGTACCCAATGCCCCCCCAGCTCCTCTCCCACCCCCGCCATCAGGTCCGCGAGCGTCGGGCGCAACTCAGGGCGGCAAAATTCAGCGAGCCACTGCTCCCAGCCAATCGATGCTTCGTCTGTCTCGCTGTCGCCAGGACGGTCGTGTCCCAATCGAAAGACTCGAGGAGGAAGGAGTTGTAGTCGGCGAAGAGCCAGCCTCCTGCTGACGCGCGACCACCAGACCCGACGATGGCGGAAGCGCCAGCGCGCGCCTGGAACATGACCCAGCGCTTCCCCAACTTCTGCACCCTCTTCTGTCGTTTGGCGTTCCGACCGTCTGGAGCCACGTCTCCCGGAGACGCAGGACGCCATGCGAGGGTGGCCACGAGGTTGCGCCGATACGCCGCCCTGCCACGGAGGGCCCGGTTGCGACGGAGCGACGCACCAAACGCACCGTGCTGGATCCACTTGTCCCACGATGTCCTGACCTCTCCATCAGATGCCTGGCCTCGAAGAGCAACCGCCCTGGCTTCGGCGCAGGGCCAGCGACATAGCCCCCCGACTCCTGGTCAATTACCCCTCCGATCACTTTGGCAATTCCCATCACAAGCCACTGGGGTGCCGCGACATCACATTGAGCGCCTGAATCTCTGGAAAGAAGAATACGGGCGCCCGACACTGAGGACAGTGGAGCATCCCCATGAGATGTCTGCATGCTTCGCAACAGACAAGGGAGCCGTCGCCCCACGGCGGGGACAAGAGAAGCTTCGCCTTGAACTCTGCCAGCGCAGGGGCGTCGTCGTCATTGCCGCGGATTAGATGGAGAGACTGCCGTGGTCGACTCCAATCTATACAGCCTCGCACTGGCCGCGGATCAATCTTCACGCCATGGAACCATTGGTCATAGTCCAGGGCCCACGAGACTGTCGGGGCCACGGGGCCAGCAACGAAAACTCTAAAGATCTCACGAACATTACTCCAAGTTGGACGCAATTCTGCGGCGAGCGAACCATCTGGGAAAATCCCGCATGCGGCCCTGTGAAGGATTCGGGACGAGAACGTCATGGCGCACGAACCTGACAGCACATGCGGATCGCCCAGGTGCAGACGCTTGCATCAAGACCCCGTGCACAGCAGTCCCTCGACCACCCGTTCTGCCTAAGCCAAAGCGGGCACTTCTCGGGGCCCTCTCCGCGCATCATCTCCAGGGCTCGACGGGCCAGCTCATACCACGCTGGAACTATCCTCTCCTGCCTCGACGACACTGTCATCGACGGCCAGATAGTTGGCTCTGTGAGTGGGAAGAACGTTGAGGTACTTGCACTGTCCCGTTCCACTGTTGCCCCTCTCCTGGGCAACCACGGGGCCAGCCATCGACTGGATCACGGGGGCGACGTCGAGCGGCACAACGATGGCCGCGTGCTGATGCTTCGCAGACGGCGCGATCCTGACGTAGATCAGTTCGAGCGAAAGCAATCGCAGCGAACAGTTTCTGCATGCGCGGATCAGCAGCTGCTGTTGGTCGTGGGCTTCTTGATATCGCGGCCGCCTAAGGGCCTACGACGCAATCACTGGGCGGCCGCGCACGACCGAAGCTCGTGTACCAGACGGGTGGCTCGGCGACGGCGTCGTCTGAATCCCCAACTATTTCAACGCCCAGGGTTCGCGCGGCGTCGACGAGCAGCATGGCGAGGGCGTGCGGGAAGCGCGCCCAAGCCCCGTCATAGCCTCCACCCTCAACGATGTCCACGATGATCTTCGCTTCTACCAAACCTCCCAAGCTGAGTACATCTGCCGCGCTGTGCCTCGCCCAGTTGACGATGAGCGATGCCAATCGCTCGGCTCCCTCGTCCCCGAAGTCACTGTACCAAACATATGCGCGTCGCTTCTCGTGCAGACGCATGGGTACCAATACGCGCGGCACGCCGGGAAGCTCGCGAGACTTTTTTGCGCTGTAACGCACGCGGAGGAATCGATCGGCAATACCACGCAGCAGTGGTGTTAGTGTTCTCAATAGCTCTAGCAGCGCGTCGCCGATGAGATCTCTCACGGTAACCAGCGGCGTGGCCTGGAGGTCCTCACACATGCACCTGAATGCATGCGACGCTGGGCCCGAGCCATGCGCCTCTTATAATTTTCTGGCGATGTTCGTCATCGTCACCACGGCCTGGAGGCCTTTGCCATCGTTCTCCGGCGCGGGCAGGCTCGGCATGCTCCAGGTAATCTTTCGCCGCGTCCCCCTTTCCAGCCAACAGCCGCTGCAGCTCTTCCTCAGACAAATGCGGGTCCTTCGGCGGCGTTCGCACCCCCGCAAGCTGGAAGCACATCCGCCCAAAAGCTTGGGGCAGTTTGTCGGTGGCGTGAGGGTGACGGGCGTTGCCTCGGGCTCTCGGCGCTGCGTAGATCGCGCAGGGGATGTGCCGGCACAGCCTACACGATCCGCCTCAGCCTCTCTTTCTGGTTCCTGTCCCTCTTCTTCGGCCTCCTGGGGGGATTATGATTCACCTCCTGCTTCTGACTCGCCGTTTCTTCGGACTCGCTGCCTTCGTTGGAGTGCGATCCCTCCTTCGAAACAGACGAAGTCGCATGCAGTGAGATGCGAGCCCGGGTACCAAAAAGGCGCTCTTCTGGGCGCTCTTCTTTGTTTTCTTTTGTCTCAGGTACCTCGACGGGCGAGTCACCGGGCACCGCCACTCGCGGGCCCCGAGGTGTTTCGACTTGCGGGTCATCGGGCACCGCCACAGACGGGTCCCCAGGCACCTCGGCAAGCTTGTCCCCAGGTACTGCCACAGGCGGGCCTTGGGGCACTCGGAGTCGCGGTCCCTCGGATACCTCGACAGGCGCATCATCACAGTAGGGATTGGGGCCGTCAGGGGGTTCGGGGCGAGGGGCTCGCGGCACAGCCGCGAGTCCCCTCTGCCTCCATAGCGTTCATGCCAGCCTGAAGACCCTCCAGGAACTCCTTGAAGTGTTCGTCGTGCTCCAAGTCAGATTTTCTGCTTTCCCCCCTGCACCTCGCTGGCGTCCACCAGCCTTTCTTCAGGCCCATCTGGATCGTCCAAGTTGTCTAGCGCCTGCTCCGCTATCGCTATTCAGTCCTCGCACACCTCTCGGAAGAGCTCCTTCTCGTGCTCAATAATTTCAGCGCGAGCGCAATGCATGTGGGCACCCGCCCAATAGCTGTAGCTGGCCGAGCGCAGCAGTTTTCGCACCACTCCCCTGCCCCTAGACGCCGCTTCATCCGACCAGAAGACTCCTCCTCCTCCTCCTCCTCCTCCTCCTCCTCCTCCTCCTCCTCCTCCTCCTCCTCCTCCTCCTCCTCCTCCTCCTCCTCCTCCTCCTGCCCCTCCTGCTCCTCCTGCTGCTTTTGCTCCCTCTCGTTCCCTCCTCCCCTCGCCTCCCTCCCCCTGTTCCTGCTTCTCGTCCCCTACACCCCTGGAGCCCTAAATATTCGAAGCCTCCCCCCGTCCTCCTGGGGACGATTCGGCGCTCGAGTTTGCGGCTGGGGTCGCCCATGCTCTGCACCAGCAGCCCTGGCACCTTCCCGGGGGCGGCAAAAACGACGCCTCCCGAGGCGACCTTACGTGACGGGCCCCTCACCCTCGAGCAGCTCCCCTCTGGCCGCCTGCCATACCCTCTCGGAGCAGGGCGAGGAGAGCCGTCACGGCAGGGGCCCCGCCTGCCAGGGGCCGGCCAGCCCAGACCTCCGACGCCGCGGCTGCTGTCGCGGCGCAGATCCCGGGAGGTCCCGGAGCTGGCCAGGCAGCAGAGACAACGTCCTCGCGAGGAGCACCCCGGCAGTCGAGCAGGGCTCGGCGCCCAGGGCCGCGCAGCGAGCGCCAGTTGTGGAGGTCGGGGTGCTCTTTCCTCGCTCGACTGGCCCCGAGCCTGACTCTGCTCGGGGGGCGGCCAGGAGAGGGGCGTCCAAGAGAGGGGGGGGCGCGAATCATGGTCGGCGGCACGTGCGCAGCCCAGGGGCGGGGCCAGGAGCGCGTTGAGACAAGAAGAGGCGCCATGAAATCTGGGGAGACATCATGGCCCCCCCATGACATCCACCCCCCCCAAGTCATCACCCCCCTCTTCGCCGCCTCCGAGACTCTTCATCCTGAGAGATCATTGTTGACGGCCCCCTGGACCGGCAAGAGCCCCCAGGAGACCGCGCGAACCTCCCCTCGTGATTTTTGTCGCGGGGCCAGCCCAGGCATGCGACGACCTGATTTTCAACTTACGGTCCCCAGAAGTCCCGACCCTTTCCCCAGGGCAGGTTCTCATCGCCGGTAAATGTGTGGGCGGTTCTGGTTTCCGGCCAGAAGCATGCCGTCATGTGTTTTCCGTGACGCCCGTGTTCCGCCTCGCCAACACGCCGTAGCCTGGCCCATCCTAGCCCAGCAACGACTGAGAGAGAGGGGGAGGGAGGGATGGAAGGACGTGAAGGAGAAGGAGGAGGAGGAGAAAGCGGGAGGATGAGGAGGAGGAGGATAGTCATACTACTGTTATTACTGTTACCACCGCTGCTACTACTACTACTACTACTACTACCACTACTATTACTACTACTACTACTACTACTACTACTACTACTACTACTACTACTACTACTACTACTACTACTACTACTACTACTACTACTACTACTACTACTACTTACTACTACTACTACTACTACTACTACTACTACTACTACTACTACTACTACTACTACTACTACTACTACTACTACTACTACTACTACTACTACTACTACTACTACTACTACTACTACTACTACTACTACTACTACTACGACTTACTGACTACTACTACTACTACTACTACTACTACTACGACTACGACTACTACTACTACTACGACTACTTACTACTACTACTACTACTACTACTACTACGACTACTACACTACGACTACTACTACGACTACTACTACTACTACTACTACTACTACTACTACTACTACTACTACTACTACTACTACTACTACTACTACTACGACTACGACTACGACTACGACTACTACTACGACTACTACGACTACTACTACTACTACTACTACTACTACTACTACGACTACTACTACTACTACTACTACTACTACTACTACTACTACTACTACTACTACTACTACGACTACTACTACTACTACAATTACTACTACTACGTCTACTACTACGGAGGAAGTGGAGGAGAAGGAAGGAGGAAGGAGGAAGGATGAGGAAACGGAGGGGTAGGAGCGCGATGAGGACCCCCAAGGGTTCGCCCTTGCTCTGTTCCTGCACGCCGGCACGCACGCCGCAAGGCGTCCACGGCCTGTGCGTGCCCCCCCCCCGCCCCCTGGGTCCCTTGGGCCCCCCTCCCGCCCCCCCCTCCCCCCCTTCCCCCCGCGCTCCTCCGCCCCGCGCCAAGGTCGCTCGCCTATATCCCAGGCGCGCTCTCTCGCGCACACTGATCGGACTTCCCGCGGCCGCTGGCGCCCGAGGTTTCCTCCACGGCGCGGGCGGGTCTGGGGGGGGGGTCGGGAGAGGCCGCGCCCCGACCTTCGGAGAGGCCGGGGCCGTCGGAGACGTCGGAGACGTCGGAGACTGGAGCTTCTTCAGCTCGAGGGCCTTCTTCGCGGCCTGGGGGGCAGCAGGCTCCCAGAGGAGCAGGGGCGGAAACCCTGGCCAGGCGAAAGAAAGGGCGGGAGCGGTCTGGAGTCTGGTCCTGGCTGGATGCTTTCCTCGGGGGGGTCACTCTTGTCCCACACCCCCCCCCCCGGCGCCCCTGGGCACTGGTTTTCGCCAGCGAGCGAGGGGGGGAAATGAGAAGGAGAACGCCTTCTCAGAAGGCGGCGGGACTTCTAAGAAGACTGCACGCCTCCTGAGAATTTGTTTCTGATCACCGGAGACAAGGCTTAGAAGACTTCTCAGGAGGCCCGGGAACTTCCGAACCTTCTGGGAAGGCCTTCTCCTTCCCTAGGGAGCCCACAAAGGACGTACGCGCCCAACTATGTACATGAACACGGCCCTCAATCCGCGAGACCCGCCGCGTGTTACAAACATTCGCGCAATGCGTACTGTCGAAACCAGCGTGGATTCATGTACGTGTACGTCCTTCTTTCGCTCCTGATTCTCGCTTCCCCCCCATCGCTCGCCGCCGACTTTGGGAGAGGAGGCAGAGGGAGGGACAGGGGAACTCGCAGATCACCGGATGTCTGCGAAGCGCCAGCGCTGCCGTGCGCACGCAGCCTGCCACTGCCCGCCGAGAGGCCCGGTGCAAGAAAGACTGGCTGGGGGCACGGGCCGCGGGGCACACGCGTGCGTCACGGATTCGGTGCCAGCGCGGCCTCGCGAGGAGGAAGAAAGGGGGGGGAGAGGAGGGGGGGGAGGAGGCAGGAGGAGGGGGGGGAGGGAGGGGAGGGAGGGGAGGCCTCGAGGGGAACCCCTCCTTCCTTGGCCTGATCGGGGTTTCCTGCCCCCCAGAGGCTCTGGGCTGCTCCCGGGGCCCCCTATCAGGCCGAGGCAACATGAAGAGGAAGGATCTGGGATAGAGGGCCAAGGAGGAGAAGGACGACGATCGAGGGACGAAGATCGAGGCTCGAGGACAGAGGATAGAGGATAGAAGGGGGGGATGACGATCGAGGATCGAGGGTCGAGGATCCAGGAGGACGACGATGAGGATCGACGATCAATGAGCGAGCCTAGAGGATTCGAGGGCCGAGGGCCGAGGATCGATGAGGACGACAGTCGAGGATCGAGGATCGAGGATCGAAGGAGGAAGGGCAGGAAGGGGAGGAGAGGGGAGGAGGGGAGGAGGGGGAGGAAGAAAAGGAGGAGAAGCACCGAGGCGTTCGACGCTCCTGGCCCCTTCGGGCGCCTCTTGAGGCCTGGGAGAGGCAGGAGAGGGAGAAGAGAGGGCGGGACGGCAAGGAACCGGTATCGCAGCCGTTGGCACGAAACCGGTATCTTCTGAACGAGTGCCCGTGCGCTGATAAAACAACGAGTGCGCAGACTTCTGCTGCGTTGCCTTAAGATTGTCTATTCATCTTGGTGAGGCCCTCCGGGAGGCGGCGCGGGCGGCAACCGGCAGAGCTTTTGCAGAGGCTGCCAACGGCGGGGAGCATCAACGGACGGAGGCCCATCTCCTCCGTCCGTCCTCCTTCATCGGTACCTCGCCCTGGCGAAACACTGGAGGCTAACACGCTCCGACCCCCTCCTCCCCTCCCTCCTCCTCCTCCTCCTCCTGCTCCTCCTCCTCTTCTTTCTCATTTCTATTATTGTCAGCAGTACTATTAATAGCATTAAGAATGTTAGTATTAATAATACTACTCTTACTACTATTGTTAGTACTAGCATTGGCATTACTATGGTTATCACGATGATTTGCAGTAGTACTACTGCTAAGCCAAATCTTACTATCAGTATACTCAGTGTTAATGAGATTAGTCATCTTATTCGTTTTGGACTTAACCATATCATTGTTACTACGCATAATTAAATTACTATGACTGGCATTGTCGATATCATTGTTATCAGCAGTACTAATAATATTAGTTGTCGTGGTATTAATGGTATGGTTCGCCTTTTTATGCTTGCAATTAGAATGTGCAGCACTCGTCTTCTTCACGTTAGTCATCATAGTAGTCTGAACATTACTCGTCGTATTCGTATGATGCGTATGTTTAGCCGTTGTCATATTATTGCTCGAAATAGCCATATGGTTCGTCCTAGTAGCGGTGTGTTGGTTGTTCTTATTATTATAAGTATTCGCATTAGTAGTGTGCTTATTATTAGTCGTGAGTAGTATAATGATTATTGGTAACATGTGTTTTGATAGTATTCGTACGATGTTAGTACTGTAATTCAAATAATAACATTAAAATGAGGGTAGTATAAATAATAAGCAGCAAAATTGGGTTATTCAACATTAAGTGATCATAATAGCACTGAATGAATATTGAGAGTCGCATTAAGACATTAATGTACTGAGCACGGTATGTTTAGAGTATACGTCTGCGTATGGATAGTAATAGTAATGATAAAAACTGCATTATTAGTATTAGCAGTTCTATGTTTACTATTATTCGTCTTAGTATGACCCGTCTTCTTCGAAATATTCCTACTATTCCTATTCGCCATCTTTTGTTCTAAATTTCCAGATGCGAATTGATACGATTATCACTAAGACCATGATTCAATGTGTTCCTCTTCTGTTTGTTTGTCCTCGTATTCCTCATCGCCCTCCTTTTCCTCCTTTTCCTCCTCCTCCTCCTCCTCCTCCTCCTCCGCCTCCGCCTCCGCATCCGCCTCCGTCTCCTCCTCCTCCTCCTCCTACTTCTCCTCCTCTTCCTCCTCCTCCTGGCGAAACACTGGAGAGTACCACGCCCCGACATCCCAGGTATACAGGCGAGGTGGGTGGGTGGGTGGTGTTCAGTCGTCTGCCGTGCCCGGGTCCCGGCTGCCTGCTTCTCGGCCTTGGACAGGCCATACCTGTTTTCCTCCCTGGTGTGCGACAGGAAGGCAGTCCATTCGGCAGAGCTGATAGTCTTGCTGTTGTTGGTGTCCATGGTCTCAAATGTCTTGCACCACTCGTCGAATGTGATGGCGCACTTGTTGCGCTTCTTGAAGATCTCAAACACCTTATCGTCGCCTCCACTACTCAGGAACTCCTTCTTCGTGATCGAGCCATCGCCATCCCTGCAAGGAGCAAAGAAGATAAGCGAAGCCATGAGAGTGGCACTGAAGCAAAAACAAGTTGGTCAGCTGACAAGCGAATGACGATGAAGTCAGCTAGTGGCAAGAACGGTTGACAACACAAAAATTCTCTACAAAAAGCCAGCTGTAAACGGATGAGCCTGACGTCCACGACGACGACTCCAGAAGAATAGCCCAAGCGACAAGCAGCATGTGAGAGCCCAGTGTTATCCCGAAAATATGTTCCTCGACCACGCTCCGAAGTTTAATCATCATCGAGAACATGTTGCCGATCCACCGGTTATTCCCCGTCGGGACCCGAACCATCTCTCTCACCAGCCCTGTGTGGCAGACATCTCAGCATCATTTCGGGAGTCGCTGAGCCTGTCGACCGAAGAATACGGATGCACAATTTCTTGACGCCTGAGACGATGCTGTAAGGTGTTCATCTCTCAAATTTCATCTGACACTTACCACTCCTATCCAACAACGCCTCGCTGACAGAGTCCGAGCTTTCAGGGAAACGGAAATCCTCGCCAGCTCCGCAGTCCAAGCTCCGATGCCCTCCCCCTTCTCTCCTCTCCTCCTCCTAGTCCTCCTCCTCATCCTCACCCTCCTCATCCTCCTCATCATCATCCTACCGTTCTCACTCGAGGTTTTCTGGGGTACTGACGCAGCCGAGGCTCACTCCGACGCGAGGCCATCGTAAATCAACAACTATGTCTATCCCGCCCATTCGACAACAACCTCCAAATAGTCTGGCTATCTGCAGGGCAGACGTATGGGTTTGCAATCCACGCGATGGACTCCTTACGCCCACCGCAAACAGCGTCGGAGAGGCAAGTGCGGTCGCACGACCATGGCTGATAATCTGGGACACGATAGACACACCACCTTGAAACCAAAGTTGATAGGCATCACTCTGAATGACAACCGTGAAAAAAGACAAGCCACTCATGGTGGCTTCTGCGTGCGAGCTTAGAACCAAGGGAAATCACAGTTCAACACATGTACTAACAACAAGAAACGCATGGCCTGTCCACCTGATTGAAGGCTCCAGTCCACTCTGTGTACGTGAGGTTGCCGTTACGATCGGCGTCGAAGAGTGCCCACAGCCCATCATAGATGCCAGGACCATTGCTATCTTGGTTGGGAGCCATTAGATATCCGCGGCGGGCAACAAAAAAATCTGCGATACGTTGGCCTGCCAAAAGCCGCAATGTTATGGCGTCTGCCCAGCGAAACATATCACGACACAAATGCGCGATGGGCCCACACATGCACCAAGCGTTGAAAGCACATGCATATCGCCAACCCGTCGAATTTCGATCACGACAGCCTACGTCCACTGTACGGTCCATGGGATCGACGCGTGATTCCAAACAATGAAATGCTCTGCCGTGCGGACGTGAATCCAATGAGATGGAGTTCTGAGCTAATCCAACCATACCCTTCCACACGATTTGAAGACTTAGCTCGTCTTTGCCCTTTTCTGTCCCTTCGGGGAGGGGTTCACCCTGGTCCTATAGACCACGTCGTAACATCGCCCCCGCTTGCATGCAGAGATGTGGCTGGCACTCTGGCGGGGCAGCCGCCCCTGGCCACGCGCGGAAAAAAGACGAGGCCCATGTGGCCCCAATTGGGGTCCTGCTGGAGCGCGTTGCCGCTCCTCGTGGGGGAATCCGGGCCCGTCTTGCGCCCCTCCTGGAGCGGTCTGGGACCTCTCTTGGGCGGCCATGGGGCCACAGTGAAGCCTTGACCGCCCGTCGGGAGCCTGCAACAGGTGCGGTCATAGTCGTTCACAAATAGACCGCGCTACGAGGTTGTTGGCCTCTCCCAGGTCATCCCAGGCGGCCTGGCGGCCCTGTGAGGCCAAAGTGAAAGCCACCTTGGAACCAGATTGGACAAACACGTGAACTCTTGGTGGTAATCCCACCAGCCCTTTGGGCGTGAGTGGTTTAGCGAGCTCTCTCTGTCCTCAACCCCCCTTTCTCCCCTTCGGGGAGGGGTTTACCCCTCCCCCTACCCCCTCCCCCTGGGCCTGGAGAGGGGGGGGCGCGGGTCGTCAGGGGGGTCATTTTCGACTCCTGGGAGGGCTAAAAAACGACACCCCTCACGAGGATTCTGGCCCCGACGGGGGGGAGGAGAAAAAACCCTCTCCTCTTCTTTGAAGCCAAAATCATTGATTTTACTACGGTTTCGGCCCCATTTTGGCCTTCTGAGGGGGCCGCGCTCATCTTCCTTCATAGCAGAATTATTGATTTTACAAAGGTTTTGGGTTCATTTTGTCCTTTTCAGGGGGCAGCGCTCATTTGCGCTTCTGAGGAGGTCGCAAGAGGCCCCAAGAAGGCCCCAAGAGGCACCCAGGAGGCTCCCAAGAGGCCCCCAAGAGGCCCCCAAGAGGCCCTCCGAGACCCCCAAGAGGCCCCCGAGAGGCCCCCAAGAGGCCCCAAGAGGCCCCCAAGAGGCCCCAAGAGGCCCCCAAGGGGCCCCCAAGAGGCCCCCAAGAGGCCCCAAGAGGCTCCAAGAGGCCCCCAAGAGGCCCCACGAGGAGCCCGAACGACTCACACCAGGACGAGGGGCCCGAACGACTCACACCACGAAGAGCCCGAACGACTCACACCACAAGGAGGGGCCCGAACGACTCACACCAGGACGAGGCGCCCGAACGACTCACACCACGAGGAGCCCGAACGACTCACACCACGACGCGGGCCCCGAACGACTCACACCACGAGGAGCCCGAACGAGTCACACCAGGAGGAGGGGCCCGAACGACTCACACCAGGATGAGGGGCCCGAACAACTCACACCACGAGAAGCCCGAACGACTCACACCAGGACGAAGAGCCCGAACGACTCACACCACGAAGAGCCCGAACGACTCACACCAGGAAGAAGGGCCCGAACGACTCACACCAGGACGAGAAACCCCAAACGACTCAAATCACGAGGAGCGCTTTCTCTCCCTCCTCCTCCGCCTCGTCCTTCTCCCGCTCCCCCCACAAGGAGGATGTACAAGGAGGCGGGAGGAAGGAGGAACAGGGGAGATATGCGGGGCCAAGCGGACACACGCCTGAAAAAACACGACTGTCGGCATGCTTCGCAAGAGTTGCTGTTTTGAGATGGGCTGGTGGGGATGCGCGAAGCGTAAAGAATTTGGGAGACTGTCTCGCCTTGGTGTGCTCTGCCGAAACCGGGCCTCGCACGCTGGTGCTATGGCCGATAGGCGGCTGGAGGGATTGACCCGCTCTATTGCAGGAAATGTTCCAATACTTCTAGATGTCCCTCCAATTTTTCTCCACCCCACCGCCCTTCACCAACGTGGCGACCCCCCCCCTTACACCCCTTCCTTTTCCTTCTAACCCGTCCACGCGCCCTCCAATCCCACCTTTTCACCCCCACCCCACTCTCCAGTCGACGCCCCACCGCCCACCCGCGCACTCTGCCCCCCCCCCCCCCCCCTCACTTTGACCCTGCGTTTCTCTTAAGTCCCTGTCCGTATATATGCATGTTCCCTGCCTCCATGGTCAAGACACATTCGTTTGGCAATTGTTTTCGTAATTATGGGACTGTGGGGCAACGTACGGCGTCCAGGAGCTGAATTACGGTGTGCTGCCTATAGGACGCAGCTCATGGGGCAGGAATTCTAAAAAAAATCACATCGAAAATTCGATTTGAATCGGCACGCGCGTCGGATCCGGCCGCGTTGGCACGGAGTCCAATAAAATCGAATCAGGCCAGCTGCGCCAAGATGGACAACAGAGCCATGCAAGCACCAGGACATATCTGATCGTCCAAGCGCGGAGCCGAGCTGTTGGGACTCCGTGCCAAAGCTGACCAAGTAGTTGAAAAGCAAATGAAAGACGGGACACCATCCTGAAGACTGATCGGGTTTTGTTAAGTGAAATAGTGAGCCGCAGGATCCTGTCTGTCGCGGCACACGCAAATAGGACGCCAGCGCGTTGAGCCAGACGCCGGCGGAATACTCGCTGTGCTCGCTATATACACTTACCCCTTGAGCCCCAATTTCAGAATCGAGGGGAGAGGAGACGAGCAGGGCGAGTATCAAGGTAAGGGTTCATTTTAGCGAAAACAGTGCAAGGATTGATGTTACTATGAATCGTGACCAGCCGGCCAACGCCAGGCTGGGTCTGCAAAATTGCGGCAAGAGCCGCCCTAGCCAAGTGCTAGGGTCGGGCCTGCAAAATAACGCATTGCAGATAGGGCGTTAGCAGGGCCCGACCTGGCCAGGTGCCAGCGACAGGACTGCGGGGTCCAATGAGGACGGACCCAAAGACGCAAGCAGCAAATGAGAGTATAAGATAATAGGAGAAGATTACAAGCTGAACAGACAGACAAGCTTGTCTTACAGCGCGTGCCCACGCAACGTGGAAGAATTCTGTTGGCCCGTCATGAGCCGAACCTTCGAGGTCGGAGCCCTGTAGGGAATGTGAACGATACCAGAGAGAACCCAATCAGATTTTCTGCTAATGTTGCTATCGGGCTGTAGGACTATAAGGCTACAGGGGTATATGCCTATGTGGTTATTGGGCTAGAGGGCTATAAGGCTATGGGGCTATTGGGCTATGGGGGATAGGGCTATAGGGCTAGAAGGCCATGAGGCTATAGGGCTATACGGCCATAAGGCTACAAGACTATAACGCGATGAACTATGTAGCTATTGGGCTATGGGGCCATTGGGCTATGCGGGGTATAGGGCTATTAGGGCTATAGAGCTATAAGGCTGTAGGGCTATAGGGCTATAGGACTATAAGGCTATGGGGCTATAGGGCAATAAGGCTATGGGGCTATAAGGCGAAAAGACTACCGGGCACCTCCGAAAGCCCCGGGGCACCTCCGGGCACTCCTGGGCACCCGGGCACACGGGCGCCCGGGCACCCCCAGGCACCTGAGCACCTGGGCACCCGGGCACCCAGGCACCCAAGCACCTGGGCCAGCCCCCGAAAGCGGCAATCCACCTCCCCTAACCGTATTAATCAGCTAGGACCACGACAGAGGCAAGCTCTGATTGGGAAATCTTCAATTCATGTTCGAAGAACTGCGTGTCCGCCACTACCTGTAACAGTAGGTCGCGCCCTATACTGCCTTTGGAATGTCCATCGACAGTCATATCCCGCGTGTCGCACCGATGCATGCTGTGCACGATACGTCTGTCCATGATCTGTCTGATCCAGCAGATATGGCTTAGAGCCTAGCAGCGTACATTCAGCTTTAACAGGTCTTTACTGGATAGCGATTCGAACAAAGATTCAGCATCAGTGGCACGGGTGACCTTAATGAATAGACAGCCCAACTCAGGCACGTTCTCGAGTTACGTGTGTGTGTGGGTGGCCTCGCTTCTACTTTATATCAGGTAATGGTTGTCGGGTAGCCGTCCTCTGAGTTGCGGGATGCTGCGATCACTTCCGCAGAAAAGCTTGGTCTTACCTGCAGCCGGTGCGACTTGCAGTAGGCATATATCAGATGCACGACGGGTTTGCCATGACGCGTGTGTCCACGCCAGAAAAGGTTGGCACCTCGGATGCCATGCCCTTTCATCTCGTCCTCAGCGTCCTTGGTCAACCGCCGGTAGCCAGAGTCTCCATGTTGGTCGACTCCTCCAGTGGAACTCAGGGCCAGGTAGGTTGACTTCTGTGGTCGACTTTGAACCTCACGCGTAATTGCGTTTAGCCGCCGCACCTGGATGTCAGTAGGTCATTGCTCCCGTCGCTAGGAGACAACGCACACCATCACCCGAGCTTGGGCTATGAGACAATACGCTGATGCCAGCGGCTAACGAACATGTCTGCGACAGGTTTGGGTACTGTCTCGTCAGCCTCCGCACCAATAAGGGGTGGGAGTTGGATAGGACAAAGTTGTGATGTAGCCGCCCTGACCCAATCTAGCGTTTCCGTTCTCGCTCTTCTCGAATCTGACGGCCAGTCGGCGAAGTATGTTAATTGAGTTTGCATTCGCCGAAGGTGTTGCCGACGCGTTTCACGCAGGGACCCATGGTTTCCTCCATTCCTGTCATAGTTGTGTCGTCTACGTGTTTGGCCGACAGTAGCGTCTGCGCTGCGTCGAGCTCCTCGGCGTAAGACGCAGCTCGAAAGCCGAAGCTACGCCGGACGTTGCGAAGCCTCAGGGAAAAGGCACG